CTGAAGATGTCTCTAAACGACTTTGAACTGTGATTTGTGGAATTCTTATTTGGGAGTTTTCGGTCTTTTCAGGTGCAGGTTTTTTGTCTCGTGTTTCCATATCTGCTTGTCGCGCTTTCTGCTTGGCCGTTCCCTGCGGCCTTCCCTTCCGTGCCCGGTGTCCATCCTCTTGAACACTATTCCCCTGCCTGTTTGGCTGGGTGTGTCTGAGCTGCAGCCTGAGCTGGTTTCTTTGTCTTCTTACTTGTCTCCTATTGTGTACTCTCTGGGCGTTGCGTTTGAGGGGTTCCACTTCAGAGCAAGCCAAGGCCTGGGCTAAGCCTGCGTTTCGGCAGGCAGGACCTTAGTTTGCCTTTTCTGGGCACCTGAGGGAGGGTAGCAGCAGCCTAGGGTCTCCTTGACCTACGGTCAGCAGTGAGGGTTTCCTGGCCTGTCGGGTGGCTGGAACTTGGCTGCATTCCCCACTGAGAGGCAGGCGCGTGTCTTCTCCCTCTCCTCCCTGGAGTGGCCTTCTGGGGGCCCTCTCAGAGCTGCTCATCAGGGCTGCGTCTTTGTCAGCACCAAGCCTCAACCCTTGTCCCTGCTGCCACTGAAGGCTCAAAACAACACTGCACAGCCTTGTGTGTCCTCTGTGTGTCGGCAAATTCCCCTGGCTCTGCAGCAGCCAGGCCAGGCAGCCTCTGGAGAGGACGGTGGAGGAGCATGGGCATCCTGGCTGCTGCTGTGTTGGGGACGGACCCTGGGGCCTGGGAAGGGAGGTGGGGGCCCCGTGGGGGCTGCTGCACCACAGGTGAGAGAGAGCAGAGGCCGGCCAGGTGGTGGCACGGCAGCTAGGGACCAGGCCGGCCTGTGGCGGTACCGGGATGGGGACCAGCGGACTTGCCGGCAGAGGGGCCCACAGGGCTGCAGGCTTCTTGGACTGAGCACTGGGAGGACAGAGTTGACCTTCTTTGAGACAGAAAAAGTGTGTGTCCCGGGGCTGCCTGTGAAAGCTCATCTCTAAAGAGTGTGTTGTTCTTCCAGCCACCCCTTTGCTGTGAAGTTGCTTGCGCTTTGTAAGAAAGAAATCAAGAATTCCAAAGACGTCCAGAAACTGCTGTCAGCCATCCCCGTGTGAGTTTCAGGTGCTGCTGGCCTTAGACACAACGGCAGGACGCAGCCTCCCTTGGCCGAGGGCGGGAGAGGAGTTGTTAGTGTTACCCCTCGAGCTAAGCTAGGATTGTGCGTTCCAATGTCCAAAGCCGTTGCAGTGGGAGGCGAGGCAGCCCAGGTGCTGGTGCGGGAACAGGCGAGCTCCGCCCCTGCTGCCCTCATGCTCTGCCCTGGGGGGAGGGGAGGCCCCACAAAGGAAGTATGTGGTCAGGGGCTGCCTCCCCGATTCTGTGTGCCCAGGGGGTCGCTGTCGAGTGCCTTGCTCTGCGGTGCTCAGGTGGACACTGGGCAGGTGCGCCAGCCAGCGATAGGCACCTTGGCTGCTCTGTGGCTCTTTGAGGCGGGGGTCCTCGTGGCAGGGTGAGCAGCCCTGCAGGAGATCCTCTGAGGCGTCCTCACTTCCCACAGTGGGCTCTCCCGGTGTGACACTCACGCCTGTACAGGCACAGTGCACATGTGCACACAGACACACCTCTGGCTCAGGGCTCCAGGTCCGCACTGTGCTCACGGATCTGCTCTCCCCCGGTCTCTGTGTGGGTCTTGGGGTCGGGGGCTTCCTGGGGTCGGCCTGCGTGGGGGCGGGGCTCACCCGGCCGGTGTGGTGTGCTGCTCTCGGCAGGTTCTGCGAGATGGTGCAGTTCCCCGGCAACGTGAGGAGGAGTGCCCTCCTGCAGCTGTGTCTGCTCCTCTGCCACCGCTTCCCGCTGGTGAGTGCCTCCCCCGTTCATGTGTGTTTGCTGTGTGGACTCAAGCCCCTTGGTGACACAGAGGCCTTGGAAGGCACTGTTGCGCTGGTGTGCTTTCCAGCCGAGCCCCCTCTAACACGCCTGGGTGATGGTGCATCCCAGGCGCGCAGCCGTCAAGGGGCTCGGACGTCACTCTGGCTTCAAGGATGGGGTGTCCGGCTGGCATTTCTATGGACACAAATCGAGGGGTGACCTGGCCGTGGGAACTGGCTCAGGAGCTTCCAGAAGGATCCAGGCTGAAGTGGTTCAAGCACACCTGGGGCAGTGCCCTTCATCCCCAGCACTCCCAGCTGTTAGACTTCTAGGATTTCTTTTCTCCTGGCTGCCAAAAAACCTCAGATGATCCGAAGGTGACATTTTCCTAAAAGGCAAAAGTAACTTCGCGTTACACAGCGGTTCTCGAGCGGGTGCTGGATCCTCAGCACCTCTGGGGCTTCAGCATGCGGTTCCTGGGCCCTGTCCTGCTGACTCAGCACCTCCAGGGGTGGGCCCGGGGCTCTGACCACCAGCTCAGTGAGACGTGATGACCAGGGCACCGCTAGCAAAGAGAGCAGGTGTGATTGCTTCCCTGATGGAAAAAAGCAGGCGAGCTTGCTTCTCTGGAGAGGGAGCACGTTGGTTAACAGAGCATTTAAACAAGAATGATGTGATCTTCACTGCTGGGAGCCTGCAGCTGTGTGTCTGTGGAGGGAGGAGGTGGTTAATGGGCGTGGAAGGCGCCTCCTGCTGTGGCTGGGATGGGAGGCAGGGTCAGAGCCCTCCTCCTGACGCCTTCCACTGACGGGGCTCCCTGACCTGGTCCTGTCGTCTCTTCGGGGTGGGGCAGTGGTGCTTCCCTCCCACCAATGCACTGCGTCCCTGTCCCAGATCCGGAAGAGCACGGCCAGCCAGGTGTACGAGACGTTGCTCACCTACAGTGACGTCGTGGGCGCAGACGTGCTGGACGAGGTGGTGACTGTGCTTAGCGACACTGCATGGTGAGTGAAGGCCCTTCCTGCACGGCCACCCGGGCCTGGCGCCGCCCCCTTCCCCACCACGTCTACTCGTCTCTCCCAAAACCCTCTGATAGGAGGAAAGAGGGCTCACGGCCACCCGGGCCTGGCGCCGCCCCCTTCCCCACCATGTCTACTCGTCTCTCCCAAAACCCTCTGATAGGAGGAAAGAGGGCTCCCAGGTCTCTACAGCCTCTGCTTGGATTTTATGAGGCAGCAGTGGTGCTGTAGCCGAAACCTCAACCACCCTGTCTCCGAATACTGTCGGGTGTCAGAAACACAGCAAAGCCATCCATCCCACCAGGGGGACGGCCACCTGTGCCACCACAAGGCTGTGTCTGGTGGCCCTGAGCTGAGGGCACTGAAGGCCTGGCGGGTACTGCTGCCCCAGGCGTCCCCCAGGGAGGGCCTCTTGGGCCTCTCTTCAGTTTTCTCAGAACAGGCCGCGTGAGCACCTGTAGGAAATGAAGAGGCACAGGTGGAAACAAGAAAAGCTCTCCCCACGCCTCTGCTCTGATGTCCACCCCCTTCCCCGGGGCCGGGAGACCCTCAGGAGGCCACAGCGCCACTCTCCACGTTTACTGTGGCAGGCACAGTTTCTTTACAACGTGGGCTGGTTTCTTTACCGTGGGTGGATTAGAATGGCAGTTTTGAAAGATGTGTCTGTTGAGTTGCGGGGTAGGAGGGTCTGAATGAGAGAGCAGAGTGGGGAAGGTGCAGGCTTAGGTGTCCTGGGCCAACCGGTGTGGTCCTGGGAGCAGCAGTGATGGTGCCTTACACACGGGTGCATGTGCACCCACGCTGGCTCACACACATGCTCACTTGCACACTCACCTATAAAAGGGGAGCAGTCTCGTCACCCCGTGTTGGAGATCAGGACTGAAGCACCCAGAGGCTGTGTGGGCGTCCCCGTGGCGCATCCAGGGTGGTGGAGTCCCAGGTGCTGCTCTGTTTAGAGCGCCGACTATGAGGGCCTCCGTGCTGATCTCGGTGCGTTGCTACAGGTCTGTGGGGTCCGTGCCACCTGTTGAAGTCAGCAAGGACGTAGGTGACGTTCCCGAGGTGTCTCCTTGGAACAGTGACCTTCCGACAGGGCTGGGTTCCCACAGAGCTCGGGCGCCGGGCAGCTGCTGTGGCCTCGGAGGACAGAGGTGGCCTCTCCAGGGCTTCCCTGGTTTTCTGGTTTGGGGAGGAGTGAGCGTCTCTGCTCCTAAACAAACACGTGGTCCCAGGAGAGGAACCAGGAGCAGCTGGGCTATCTTCTCAGCATCCATTGAGAGATTGGCCGTCTTAACTACTGCTCTGGAGACATTTTTAAAATGATGTTTTTAGAACACCAAGGTGCATTCTGGATCAGATTCTAAAATAATTGGCTCTAGGACAGTGAAGAAGCCAGGTGTCCCGAGCGGGCTGAGGCCTCCTCCAGCAAGGCTGGGCCGGGGCAGCCTCCTTTCCTCACGTCAGGGAGGGAGGAACTAGCAGGGTGGGTCTGGGGGCTTCTCCTATAGTTTAATCCCCTTTCTGTTAAAAAAAAAATCCTTAGAAGTTAGAGAATTTTTTAAATTACAAATGAAACACATGCCCCAGACATCTCCACAGCATTGGCATTGCTAGAATTTTTATTTGGCATAAACAGCTGAGTTAAAACTTCGAAAATCCTTGTCAGCCCTTCCTTGGCCTCACTTGGTCTGTCCTTCTGCAGCCCCTGCACTGGGCGTGGGCGTGGTCCTCCCCGAGGGGCGACCCTTGTTGGGAAGGAACCGTCCTGCGATTCTGGGGCCTGAGGCCCTGTTGGAGAACGGGCTCTGGAACCGTCCTGCGATTCTGGGAGGGTTCGGGCCTGAGGCCCTGTTGGAGAATGGGCTCCTGTGGTGGTTTTTCTGCCCTCGGCCTGGCTGCAGATGTCTGGGGTGAGGTCTCCTTTCCCCGATTGCTGCCGTGGAAGCTGACGTGGGGCCTCTGCACACCTGAGGTTCTAAGGTGGGCACTTGAGAGATTCGTGGCTCCCTCTCCTCACAGGGACGCGGAGCTTGCAGTCGTGAGAGAGCAGCGCAACCGTCTGTGTGACCTCCTGGGTGTGCCCAGGCCCCAGCTGGTGCCCCAGGTAATGCCGTCACCTCACAGCATGAGGCGCCTGTGCTTCCCCGAGCCCTCGAATGTTCTGGGGCCAGCGGCTGTGCTCAGCTTCTGCCAGTGCATCCACACGGTCCATTCCCTCATCTCATGTCAGGACCCCTGGGATTACGGGACCAGCAGAGCTGCCTTCTCTGGCCACTGCCCGCACATGTGGGCCCCTGTGGCATCTAGGCCACTTGCTCTGGGGCATGTTTGGGGGGCTGGGGAGGGGGTGGGGTTGGCATCAGCTTGATCCAGGCTCCTCATGCCTGACCCTGGGGTCTGTCTGCACTCCCAAGTGCCAAGAGTGCCTCCCTGCCCCTCATCTGCCTCCCACGAGTGGGCCCAGGGCTGGGTGAGGGGTCCCCAGAAGCTGCCCTGTGCACCTCACCAGCCCGTCACTCTTATTCTAAAGTAACAAAAACAAGTGCCTCAGTTCTCACGGGGCCTGGGGCCCCGGGTCGCTGTCCTGTCTCTCTCGTTACCTGGGTCGGCTCCTTCCTCTCAGCCCCCTTTCATACGGCAGGAGGGGAGGAGAACCACATCCAGATCCGTGGGGGCAGTGGGGCCGGGCTGAGCATCAGGACACAGCCTCCCCATTTCTGTGTGTAAAGGCCGAACTCAACAGCAGACTTTGGAGTTAAATGTGCTTTTTACATTTTTATTAGGAAAAATTTCAAACGTGTGAATGCAGGTTAAGAGCAGTGCAGTGAACCTCTCTTCCCGCTCCCCAGACGGGGTGCCGTTCCGAGGACACGTTAGTCATGAGCGCCTGTCAGCCACACAGCTCAGGCTCCCGCGTGTGGGGAACGGCACAAATAGTTTCCTGCAGGAACCCAGTGTCAGTCCCCACACAGGGCCCAGAGGGGCGAGGGTCCCCTGGCTGGGAATGGTGTGTGATGGAGCTGACCAGCCTGAGCTTGTCCTGTCTCTTCTGCAGCCTCACGCCTGCTGAAGCCAGTCCTGGAGCCCGTACCTCACCCCTGCCTGGTGGGGATGTCTTGTTCCTGAGGGAGGCCGGTGTGGAAAGCCTGGCACGGTGGTGCCTCCAGCTGTTGAAGGGTAGCGCTGGCCCTTGGAGGCTGGCACCAGCTGACAGCTTTTCCTCTCTGCACCTGCCCTCTAATGACCTGGGGTGGATGCCTCTGCCTTCACTTGAACACAGATGTGCTTCCTATAAAATCATGTACCAAGAAGTTCCTGCCTTTTGTCTCTGAACCTGATGCGTGTAGGGTGATGGAGGGGCTCACTGCCCAGGGGTCAGCCAGAGGGGGTTGGGTTCCACTCCTCCTGCCTGGAGACCGGGCCCCCTTCTCGCCTGGTGCTGTCCCTGCTGTGGGAGACGTCTGGCCACAGCTGGTGGTCTGCCCAGTCTTGGAGAGAGATGAATGTTAAATCAGAGGTTCAAATGCCAGAGAACTGACAAGCCCTGGTGGCAGGCATGGTCTAGAGTGCTGCGCAGATGCTGTTTCTGGGACCATCTGCCTGGTGGGGGTGCTGGCCTCCCGCCTGTGCACACGTGAGCATCGTGCATGTGGTCCCCCTGCAGTGCAGGGGTCACTGGTTGATGGGTGTGCAGACCAGCAGCTTCACAAATGTCTGCTGCAAGGGGAATTGTCAGAGTCCAATGTGTGCCTCTACAATAATACGGGAAATACAATTCCTGAAACAATTACACTGTCTTAGGAGAGCCTGGGCAGAGTCTACACTTGGGTTTTTAAGCAAAGGGCAGGAGGCTACCTTTGTCTCCGTGTCTGAGCTCATGCTGATCCATCCCAAAGCTGGTGAGGGGAACGTGTATAAAAATTTCACTGTGGTAGCAACCCACTCCCATCTACCTGGGACCTGTGCTGTGCTCACAGGGCTGGAGGTGCAGAACCACCGCCCCACCGCCGGCAGCACCAAAGCAGCCTCAGGTGTGGCCACTCAGAGGCCCAAGGGCTTGGGTGAGCAGCGCTTTCCCTGGGTGCAGAGCCCAGGGGTGCCGTGTGCGTGGTGTAGACTGGGGTGGCTCCCCGGCCTGCTCGCTCAGGTGGGGATGGGGTCTGGACACAGGAACATGGGCAGGCCCAGAACTGGGAGATGCCGCCTGCATCTGTGAGGCAAGGCTCAGTCGTGGTTCTCACTTGTGAGGTCACCAGGACCACAAGGCCAGGACTGTGACAGTTCATGCTGTCTGTTTAGCAGACAGCTGTTCACGGAATGTGTGTGATGACCTGGCCACACAGGAGTGTGGGGTTAACACACTACCGTTCTTGTGCTTGACCTGGTGGCCAATAGTCTTTATCCCTTAAAAGAGCCTTGTGTTACATTTTTACGAGATTTAAACATTTTATTCCAACCTGTGTAATTGGGGTCTCCTCCTCCTCGAACTGTCCCCTCGATTGGCTGGGGTCACGTGGTGAGGGTCCTGGGTGGCCAGGCCCAGCCTTGACCACGAGTCCACACGGTGGAAAGGGTTCGGCTCCTGTGGTCAGCACACACGAGACTCTGGTTGCGCCTGCTGGGTGTGGAACTGGGGTGCACCGTTGCTATGCCTGCAGCTCACGAAGCTCCTGCTGGCCTGGGATGCACTGAGGATGGAGGGAACAAGTGGCTTCTGAGAGAAACATGATGAACTGTTCTTAGTGCAATTAAAAGGAGATTCCAGAGAAATGGCATTTTAAGACATGGAGGCAGGTCGATTCCCCACCCAGGCCCATCAGTGACAGGGCAAAGCAGTTCTTCTTTCAGTGTCGGTCTAACTTAGCAACCCAAGGAAAGTGGATCACTCCACTGGCTACTGCCTCTTTCCTACTGGATCCCATCCATCACTGGGGCACTTGTGCTCACCAGGTAACTGGTGGCCTGGAAAGCCTCTTTCATTCAGCAGCCGTTTGTGGAGCCCACCAGGGTACAGGTGATGGAGTTTGGCGAGGAACCCCTTGCTCACATGATAGCTGGGGCAGACAATAGCAAATGAACAAGCAAGCACCATCAAGGCAGGCAATACTGAGCACTACGAAGAAAAAGTGGGCAATGCAACGGTGTGTTGGGTGTTGACCCCTAGGAGAGGTGTTCAGAAAACTGCTGTGAAGGGGCAGCATTTGGGCAGAAGTCCAAACAAACTGCCCAATGGCAGAAAAAAGAATGCTTGTGGTCCCAGAAGTGGAGCAAGCTTTGTGAGTTTAGAGAGCAGCAAGAAGCCAGTATCCCTGGAACCGGGGAGCTGGTGCAGGATTTGTGTACCCACAGACACATTCTAGGCACAAACCAGAAACCCTCCATGTGAAAGCAGAGATCTTGGAGATCCTGAGGGTTTCTGCTGAGCCCTGGAGTCCAGTCATGCTGTTTTGATAGCAGAATGGATGAGAGGATGTAAGGCCCAGGGCCAGATCTAATAGGAGACCCCTATATAGAGCTGGGACCCTAAATACATCTTTCTCAAAGGAACAGCGCAAGACTCTTATTTCAATCTCCCCTGAAGTGGCCTGAATTAATACTAACTGTACGATCCCCAAAACTCCTAAAGTGGAAAATTCGATTGACTTGGCCTTGACCAGTGGTATTTCCAGACAAGGGGCAGAAGATGCAAATATAAAACCTCTCTGGAAGAATGTAGGCTATGAGTACATTTTTGAAAAGGGCTAGAAATTATCAAGAAGAGATTTGAAAAAAATAGAGCCCCTAAAAATGTAAGAAGTGAAATTAAAAGCTCAATGGATAGCTTAGACACTGCTGAAGAGAGAGTTAGAAAACTGGAAGATCTGAAAAAAATTATCTGGAGAACTGGAAAAGACGAAAGCAACATCAAGAGACATTGAAGAATGTCTAACGTTTGGGTAATTGGGGTCTCGGAATGAATGAAATTATGCAGATACTCCATACTGACATGCAACAGTCCCCAGATACAGAAGCCTAACAGTCTCACACATTTAGACTTGCCACAGTGAAACTGCAGAACTGTAAGAAGGACAGAGTGATATAAATGACTACCAATTTCCCAGCAGCAGCCCTGGAGCTGAGGAAGGAGTAGACCAAGATCTTCATTAGGCTGAGAGAAAATAGCTGTTAAGTTGCTTGAATTGTGCCCATAGCATAACATTAAAGAAGAGAACAAAATTAAGTCATTTAGATAAAAATATGCTGTTCTAATGCATGTTTGGTTTTTTTTAATCTTGGCTTAATATTTGGGGTTGAGTTATTTGTTGTGAGAGCTGTCCTGTGTATTGCAGGTTATTCAGCAACATCCCAGATGGCAGCAGCCATCCCCCTACCCAGCTGTGACAAAAGGAAAAAAAAAATGTCTCCAGAGATTGCCAAATATCTTCTGGGTGTGAATTCATCCCTGGTTGAGAACCACTGCTTTAGTGGATAAACTTTAGGCAGGAGGGAAATGATCACAGTTGGATAGTTGGAGGAATGTGGAGCAAGGAAAGCAATAAACTGTGACCATAAAAACAGAAAGATGGCTGATACGTGGGTTTTTTTAAAGCATATAGAATTGCTTAAAATGGACAACAGCAGCATATAAGTCAGCAGCAGAGTTGGTGGCTGAATTTAGAGCATCTTAAGTCTTTATGTTCTCCTGGAACAGAGTGCAGATAATTCAGTTATCAGCTTGGCTAAGTGCATGTTGAAGTTTTTAGAGTCACAAACAATATATGGGGAAGATAACTTCTGTACTACTAGTAGGAGAGAAATGGAACAAGAATAAAAAATACACTATCAAAATATGCAAGAATGGCAAGAGGAAAAGGCAGAACACGCTGCAAAACACACACACACACGAAATAAATATTTTAGGGCACAATAAATGTAAATTGATTAAAACCTCTATGTTAATGACAATGTTCTCCAGTTAAAGGAAGGCAAATTATTAGGAATAGATTACTATATGATGATTAAAGGCTCAGTTCAACAGGAAGACGATAGAATTTTCCTACATTTGTAACCCAGTCTCAGAAGATATTAAAGCAAACGATCATTGAAGAAGAAATTGATCATCTACTACCACAGTGTATTTTACTGAATTGATACATTTCAATAAAGTGTCATAAGGCACGGTTGAAGAAGAAAAGCTCGACCCAGTGGACAGTTACAGAACCCAAGTGTGTGTGTGTACACACAAATTTTAAAAAGATGTTTTTAAAAGAAATAATGAAAATTATAAAATATATAATGAAAGATAAAATAATCACGACAGATAGAATTCACCAAAGTGATTCTGAAGTCTTGAATTATACATTAGAGAAGAAAGGCTGGAAATTAATGAGCTGAACATAAGCAGAAGACTAACTGTAAAGAAAATTAGAATAAGAGCAGAATGTAGAGGAAATTAAGCATCATAAAGGCACAAACTCAGACGGTGCTTCGGTGAAAAGACCCACCTGGGAGCGGCTGCCGTGGGTCCGTCAGCTGAAGTGAAGGAAGTCCTGGCCCTCCTGCAAGTGCAACGACCTCAGGTTGTCCTCGAAGGCGCCCCCTGTGAGGTCCTGGCGGGAGCAGCAGATACAGCTCAGTTCCACCTCTCCTGGCTCCAGGAGGCCACTGGGGAGCCTCCTCCAGGGCCAGGGGTTGGGGGTGGCCTGTGTCGACCTGTCAAGTGGTCTACTATGAACTTCTGCCCCTCTGCTAATAGTGGAGAGGCTGGAAGGAGACAAGGGCCAGAGAGGACAGCAGCCGGCACTGCTTGTACCACAGGCCCTGGTGGTCACCAGAGGGGAGGCCCCTGCCTTCTGGCCTTGCCTCTCTGCAGAAGGTGGCTGACTCTCCCTGGGGGCACTCGGAATGGAATGAGACTAACAGGCAATGCCTCTGCTGTTCGACCAGGGCAGACCCACCTTCCCTCCACACACCCACCCCTCTGCAGAGGCCAGGAGTGGGAGGAGGCCCCTCAGACAGAAACTGCATCTCAGAACCATCAACAGCTGGCCCTGTCTCATCCCCTCTGGCCTCTCTCATCCCCACCCCTGCAGTGGAGTGAGGGCCGTGACCCCGGGTCGCTGGATGCTTTATCTTGTCCTGTGTGCCGACTTTGGCCAGGTCGCCTACTCTCCTGTGTGAGGCCACAGCAGGTGTCCAGAAATGCCTTTCAGACATGCCCTGCACCCCAGCACCTCCTGAAGAAGCTCTTGAGGACACATCCCGGCACAGTGGTGGACCCAAGTCTCTGGCCTCTGGCAGGACACAGGAGGGACTGTGCACTCCCGTCACAGTCCTCGGTCCTTGGGCCCAGCAGGAGGAATCGGAGCCTGGCCGTGCCCCCTACCCCCACCACGTCAGAATCCATTACACTACCTACCACTGTTGTCACTCAAATGATGCTGTCACTTGAATGAAAGCCATCCTGCCTGGAAAACATTTCCACACGCTCTGCCGCTATCTGTCCTTCCTCCCTTGTCTCTCGAGTTTGCAAAGGAAACACACCTGAGTTCAGGGACCAGGCCAGCCCAGTGCGTGTTGACACCGTCTTAAACAAGACTGTTAAAACTAGATGCTTCTGTAAAGCAACATGTTCCATTAGAAGAATGAAAAAGCAAACCACAAAACAGAGGAAGACATTTGCAGAACATTAAACCAACAAAGGTGAGCAGCCAGAGGCATAGAGGACTCCTACAGGTCAGGAGAGACGCAGCATGCAGTAGGCCGGTGGGGAACCCTGATGAGAAACACCGCCAGAGAGGAAAGAACTCCAGCATCCAGCGGACACGGGGTTGATGCTCAGACTCACACCTGAAACCACCAAGAGAACACATTCCCCAAACTGCTGGTGACCAAGTGCCCAGCCCAGTGCGAGGAAGCTGTGCGGCTGGGCCCTCTGGCTCCCGGTGTGTTCCCAGGCCAGCCTCTTGGGGGGTATCATCCAGAGAAGCTGAGGACGCAGCCACACCCATGACCTGCCTTCCACTCCCAGGATGAGACCCGAAGCAGGGACTCCCACGCAGGAGGACACAGCGTCCTTGCAAGAGCAAACTGGGAACCACGGCCCACAGGCCTGGGTCCTGGCGTGGCCTCTGGGCGGGGTGGCGTTTGCACATGGGACATGGATCAAGTCCACAGCACACACAGCGGATGTGCACGCACCCCAAACACGTGGAGTGAAAACCAGATGCAAGAACACAGATAGTGGATTCTGTTCACGTGAACTACAAAAATAGGGTAAATTAGACTACGGTTTAGGGATGTGTTCACACACACGCCACGAGGGTTGGCCCTGCCAGGTGCCAAATGCATGTTCACAACCAACATAGAAAGATGGCATTTCATTCCTGGAAAAGCAGGATATAAACGATGTTGGGACAATTAGGTATCCAAATGGAAAGAAAAATTTGCATCTGTAATCTCTTTACCAAAAGAAATTCCAGTTGTATCAAAGATGTAATTAAAAAGTAGAAATCCCAGAAGCAAAATTGGACAATGTGGTTTTTTGAATTTCACAACCAGGAGTGATTGTCTCAGAATGACTCAAACTCCATAAATGAAAGTCATTTAATTTGATTATATCACAATGGCATAAATATAAAAATGTCAAATGGCAGAAAAATTCACAGCACGTCAGAGTTTTCCTTATGAAAATACTGACCAATAGAAAAACGGGCTAATGACAAGAATAATCTACTAAAAGGGAAATAAAGCAGTTCATAAATATGTGAGAATATGCTTTCCCTCCCTGTACGGGCACGAGGCAGGTGCTCCATCGCTGGTGGGGGTGGGTTGGCACAGCTGCTGCAGGTGGTGAACAGCAAGATTGGGGCTGAATGTGTGTGCCCTTTGACCCAGAAATTTTTAGAATTTATTCCACATAGAGCCACTTGAGCGAAATTATGTATATATACAAATACTCCAGCAGCATTTTAAACAGTGAATGATTAAAAATGCCCAAAATGTACATCAGTAAGTAACTGTATCACAAATGCATGAAACATCCATATAATCGAAGAGCGGGTGTTTTAGTGAGGAACGTGAACCTTGGGTTTCTCTTTACTATTCCAGCTAACGGTGGAGGAAGGCACAACAGCAGCGCCACAGAGGTGCCCTAAGACCCCCGAGGTGCTCCTGCCGAACGGAATCGCAGGGGAGCCTGAGGTGGCCTTGGTCTGACCACCTCTCAATAGGACGGAGCAGAACACGCAAAACCACAGGGCCCCGGTCGGCGAGTGCAGGATGCAAAAGCCCCTTCTTTAGCTGAACTACGAAAAGAGCATTGGCGTCGGGGAGGCACAAAGAAAGGTCGTGTCGTAGAGGTCACACGGACACTGCCGGATTCCAGCAAGCAAACTTAACACATGAAGCAGTTTATAAGGCAATGAAGAAGATCTGAACATTGATTGGATATTTGGAATTCTGTGGTGGAATGGTGGTTTTATGGTCTTTTGAACATTTTTATCTCTTTGAGATACATCAGGGAAACAATAATGGATGAAATTAGGTTAGAATGAGTGTCACACCCCAGCGTGGGGATTTGGAGGCGTGGAGGACACAGAAGGTGGACACGCTGGCTCCGGGGATGGGTACGTGGGGCTGGTTTCCCGTCGCTTTGCTAATACGGCTCAAATAAGCTGGAGATATCCCTGAATAGAAAGGTCACAGCAGCAGTAGAGCCCAGGGGCTCCAGTGGCTTCACACAGAATAACCTCCAATCTACATTATGCGAAAAGAGCAAGACATGGAACAAGCATGTGCTGTGAGGCCACACTGCCAGCTGCCCCTGGAAGAACACGCAAGACAGGTGACCGCGGGCGCTCCGGGCCCTCCAAGGACATGGCGTGTGCAGGACGAGGAGGAACCTCCTTTCCACGCTAAGCCCACTCCCTGGGAAGGGTTTTCACCAAGTGCCTTGGGGTTCACATGAGCGCCCCAAGGTGGTAGTGACACCACAGGTCACCATAACACACACAGTAACAGTTTGACGTATTGCGAGAATTGCCACGAGGAGACATGGAGTGGGCGTGCTGCTGGAAGAGCGGCACTGATGGGTTTGGAGGGGGTTCCTGAAAAGTCGATCCTGAAAAGGCTGTTTCTGAAACACTAAACCAGATATTTGTAGAATTTGCATTTTATAACTGCTTCTCAGAGCCTCCCGCTCACTCATCTAAATGTCCCTGGTAAGTTGGACAATGGTTATTCAAAGTTTTTCATTTACTTTGCTCAGATCCATCAGAGCAATCACTATCGATGGCGGCTACAGCCTTAGAAAGTGTTTTTCTTCAGTAAGACCTGAGAGCTGGAATGGCTCCCGGACCCACGGGCTGCAGAACGGAGGCCGTGTCAGCGCGAAAACACGAACCCCTCGTACACTGGCCTCAGAGCTCTTGGGTGACCAGGTGACCGTCAATGAGCTGTTGTATTTTGGAAGGAATCTCCTTTTCTGAGGGCCTAACACTGGGCTTACAGTATTCCATAAACCATGCTGTGCACAGATGGGCTACCACCTGGGCCTTGCCATTCCATTTCTAGAGCCACGGGCAGAGCAGATTTAGCCTCATTCTTAAGAATCCTACGATTCTCAGAATGGTGAGCACTGCCTTCAACTTAACCCATTTATGCCTGAGGTTGCAATTTTTTAAATTTTGCAGTCAGACCTTGGCAGTGACCTTAAGCAGAATATAAACTCCCGCATGCTTAGCATTCCAATAATGGAACACTAGGCATAAATGGGTTTTAAAGTCACGGCAGCATTAGCCTCTGATAAGAGTCAGACTGTCTTTCGAAGCTCTGAAGCCAGGCATTGACTTCTCCCTACCTATGGAAGTCCTGCATGGTGTCTTCTCCAGTTCAAGGCTGCTTCCTCTACACTGAAGGTCTGTGGTTGAGCGCGGCCACCTCCATCGTGACCTCAGCAGGATTTTCTGGAGAGCCTGCTGCCTCACCTCACACCTATTACGGAGACGGCTTCTTTCCTTAAGCCTTGTGGACCAACCTCTGCTAGCTTCAAACTTTTGTTCGCAGCTTCCTCACATCATTCAGCTTTCACAGAATCGAAGAGAGTCAGGACCTCGCTCTGTATTAGGCTTTGGCTGAAGGGAATGTTGTGGTTGGTTTGATCTGTCAGACCACTAACACTTTCTCCCTATCTGCAAAAGGCTGTTTCGCCATCATTCGTGTGTTCACTGGAGGACCACTTTTAATTTCCTTAAATAACTTTTCCTTTGCATTCACAACTTGGCTAACTGTTAGGCTGAAAGCTGGGCCTCTCCTGCCAGTCTTGGCTTTCAACGTGCCTTCCTCACTCAGCTTAAAAATTTCTAGCTTTTGATTTAAAGTGAGAGACTTGCAACTCTTCCTTTCACTTGAACACTTAGAGGCCACTGTGGGGTTGTTGGTTGACCTAATTTCAATGTTGTGCCTCAGGGAATAGGGTGGCCTGAAGAGTGGTGGGGTGGGGGGTGGGGAGCGGGGAGGGACAGCCAACCAGCAGAGCCGTCAGAACATTCACATTTATCAATCAAGTTCACCGTTTCCTATGGGTGCCCCGAGATAGTAGTGACACTACAGGTCACCGTAACACATACAATAACAGTTTGAGGTATTGCGAGAATTACCACCAGGAGACGTGGAGACGTGGAGTGGGCGTGCTTCTGGAAGAGTGGCACTGA